ACTGTGGGAGAAGGTTTTGGAAATGCACTGGAACTCAGGTTATATATGGTTGTGAAAGAGATAGGTTAAATGTAATATATGAAATATTTAGAAATGCAATATTGATTGACTGATTTGGAAACTATATATGTTGTTGCAGAGATTTGAAGGTTGTGGTTTGATGGAGTGGTTTGACCCTCCAATGTGCAAAAGGTCTCAGAAAATCATCCCAGGATTATTAAAAAAAACTGAATGACTATGAAGAGAAAATCCATTCATTGGAGATGATGGCTCAAGCATTGGAGACAAACTGTTTCAAAGCAGAGAAGATGCAGACAAAATGTAGTAAATGTATAAGATTGGTGTGCTTTATGTGTGTTGTGATTGTTATTGTTTCAGTCTACTTGAAAGCCAAGTAATAAGCCAAGTAATGTAGTTCTAGTGTTGATGAGGTCTGTCATTATGTACTTGTAAAACCTTTGTAAAAGGTGTTGATTAGCATGATTTGGTATGAAATGAAAGTCATAAGATTATGAGTCAAAGCTGTTCATTATAAGTTCATATCTATTGCTTTGGTATAAAATGACCTTGTTATTACCTTGGTATAAAATGACTTCAACTGATAACTTAAAAAACGTGTGGAATACATATCTATTACACATATGCATGCCGAGTGATGACTTAAAAAACCAGTTCCTTAACATATCACTTCCTTAAAAAACCAGTTCCTTAAGTGATGACACATATCAGTTCCAAATGACTTGAAATGGACTTCAATCCTGTGGACTACAAAACTTACAAACTGGATTTGGCTTCCTTAACCAACATATACTCAAACCTGCCACTCAAACATGCAGTGATGACTTCCTTAACAACCATATAATCACTTCAAGCACACATGTATGACACATATATAACTTAACAACCAATTACATACACATATATAATTACTTGCATCATAACTTAAGATGCATGATGTTTGTTACACAATAAAGTCATTCCCAAAAAAGCTGAGCTCATGTACAGCCAAAATGCTACTCCATACATTACATCATCACACTGAGATGATACATTACATAATAACTTAACAAGCATGAGTTTTGTTACACATCACAGTCACTCCCATAAAGGCAAAAAACTTAGTCCATACATTACATCATAACAGTAGCATCAGTCATAAACATTTTACTCCATCCACTACTGTATATCAATGGGGTCATCATCATTTCCAAAGAAGACTGATTTGAAAGTTGTTTTGGATCTAGTAGCATAGGTTGGTCCCCTTTTAATGGTGAGTTTGGGTCTCGGATTAACCTGAGAAGGTTTAGGCACACTTGTACTGCTCTTCTTTTGACTAGGGGGTGGTCCATAGCATATCCTAACACCCTGCTTTGTTCTCTGGTAAGTCCCAACAGTCTCCTCTTCTGAAACCTCCTTGCTTTGTTCTTCACTCTCTCCTTTGCTCTCTTCTTTGTTGTGTTCTTTCCCCTCATCTGTACTTTTATCTTTGCTCTCTTCTTTGGTTTCTTCTGTGATCTCTTCTGAGACTTGAGTGACTTGTGTGTCCTGTGTAAACATAGCAATGTCCTCTACACTCACAACAATAGGAACCTCACTTCCAAAAGTAGCTTCCTCAGCACACATCATGGTAATGTCAACAAGGTTGAATTCATCAAGAAGGTTGGAGTCATCAACAACCTCTTCAACTCCCTCATTCCCAGGCTCCTCACCTCTATCATGCAGTCCTACAGGATGCCTGATCTTAGGTTTCCTGTTTCTTTTTCTAGGTTGCAACTGATAACATGTAAAGAAAGTGTAGTTAATGCAAACATACCACAATATATCATAATAAGAAAATGACCTTATAAAATAAGGATGGACACTATACCAGCTTCTCCTTGATGTTAGGATCATCCGGACATCTCCTTGCATTGTGGCCTGCCTTCTTACACTTTGAACAATGCAATTTTATATGTGTTCTTGCTACTCGGACTCCATCTGTGCTCAGATCAACTGCAGATTTCCTTCTCAGTTTTCTTGGTCTTCCAGCTCTAGCAGCATATACAGGTGGAAGAGGGGGAAGTCTGTCAGTTAAAGGCCACTCATCTGGGCCTGCCATTGGCTTTATGGAGCCTCCATATATCTGCAAATACATGTCCTTGGAATAACATGGGTGGACATATGCATCAACATGTCCTTTTCCAAATTTGAGCCAAATAGCACATATTGCATGCTTGCAGGGGATCCCAGTTAAGTCCCACTGCCTGCAAGTGCATGTTCTCTTCTCCAAATCCACACCATGTTGGTTACCATGCGTTCCCATTATCTCAAAGTCATTGTCACCACACTGATACCCAATCAAACCTGCAGCTAACTTCTCAGTCTCATGAATTTTCTTTACTATTCTAGGGCAAATATTTGTAGTCCACTTTCTTGCCTTAGTTCTGCTACTGAACAGCTTTGTTAGAAGCAGTTTCCTTATAGTTTCTAGGCACACCAAAAGGGCTTGTTGTCTCGCCTCTAGTATTACACTATTAAAGCACTCACAAATGTTGTTGGTCAACATATCAGTTTTTGAGTGAGTAGAGAAATGTGCTCTTGACCATTCTCTGGGATGCTTATCAGCCAGCCACTCAAATGCTTGCCCATCAATTTCTTTGAATTTAGAAAGGGCAGCTTTATATGAGTTCAGAGTGCATGCCTTGCTACACTCCCACAGAGAATCCTTTAGAGCTTTGCCAGTAAAACCCGCAGCCTTCATATTGCCATGTAGATGCCTCACACAAAATCTATGCTCAACACCTGGTAGTAGTTCATTCACAGCTTGAATTAGCCCTTTCTGCTTGTCTGACATTAAAGTGAAGACATGCTCATTGCCCTCTGTGATGTCAGCATCCCTCTTCACTAGGTTCAAGAACCAAGCCCAAGATTCTCTACTCTCACCCTCAACAATGGCATAAGAAAGTGGAAAGATGCTATTATTTGCATCTACTCCAATTGCAACTAAAAGCTGCCCCCCTGTTTTGGTCTTCAGATGAGTCCCATCAACCCCAAGAACTGGCCTACAATGTTTAAATCCTTCTCTACAGGCTTCCCAACACATATACATTCTCAGAAATCTTTGTTGTCCATCCACCTCAACATTCTCACTCAATTTCACAACACATGTGCTCCCAGGATTGGTCCTTCTTATTTCAGCCACATATGACCATATCTTCTTGAAGTAATCTTCTTCTTCACCTTGCAGTTTCCTCTTAGCCTTACTAATTGCTCTATAAGCTTGTCTGAGACTCAAATGGAAGCGTTCTTCAGTGCACACTTTCTGTCTGAACTCTTTAGTTTTCCAATTTGAGTGACTTTCAATCTCCTTGAACCACCTATTTGCTACCTTACTTGAGTTCACCATTTTGTTGTGATAGACCCAAGAGCAACCCTCATGTTTGGAATGGTACTGTAAAATCACCCAAGAATGAGAGTTCATTACCTTTCTAAGATTCATCTTCCATGGGCAGCCTATATGCTTGCACTCGACAACAACCCGTTCCTTATCATTTTTGACAAACCTGACCTCTTTACCATTGTTAAATGCAAGATTTTCCACAGCTTCTTTGAATTCCTGTTTGGTGGCAAATGTCATACCCAACTTAAAGGTTGGGTCTTTCATATCAGTCTTGGCAGAGAATTTAGTCCACTTGTCAGACTCAGAATCAGATTCATGTATGGAACCATCATCTGACAAGTTAGGATCTGGGTCTACCATTGAAGCCTCAGTAAAATGGTCCTCTCCTTCACTACTGCTGCTTAACCCTCCATGAGCAGATAACTCAGCATCCTCCTTAGAAATGAAGTCTTCCAAATCAGAGTCATCCTCATCTCCAGAAAATTCTTCTAACTCTTTCTCACTGTAGGCAAAGTCACTATCTTCAGAGTCATCATCATCTTCAGTGTCACCACTGGGTTCTAATTCTACCCAGAACTCCACCACCTTACCAACATTTCCATCATTCACAATTCCCCAAACCTCAGCCTCACTGTGTAGTTGTTTTAAGGACTCATCCTCATTGGAATAAGAGTACACTGTCATAAGTTTTTGGGTGCAACCAAGTTCTTGTAACTTCTCATTCAACACAATCAAACCGAACTCATCAACCTCTACATCATGAAAATTATGGATTGACCCTCCCAAGTATGCAGGTTTATCCTTGTCAAATACTTTTCCTCCATAAAACAACCTCAAAGTAAAAGTGTTTCCACATGTGCCTGAACCTGTTTTATATATGAGTTTTAAATGTTAGGTCAATGTCTTTAATAGGTTACAACAACACCATAAGTATATTTCATAAATACCACTACAAAAAAAAACATGTATGAGTATAACCTTGCGTAAAGATAAAAGTGAACTGGTCCCATTTCTTAAATGGTAAAAGACAACCGGCCAAGGGAATCTCAACCAAAAAAAGCCTACCCTACCATGTGACCGCATAAAGGGAAAAAGGGAAAGGGGAAAAGGGAACCTCAACATAAAACCCCTAACATGTGCATACACTGCGAACAACAAATATATACACCTCAGTTCAGCCTTATTTCCAATACTTTCTTCCACTCTCTTAAAAAAGTTCAGCATCTTACCTTTATCAGCAACATTTGTTGGCGACCACCGTTCAGCACTTGTTCCTTCTCCTTCACGCCGACGGTCCAGACGGTTCCTCATTCTTCGAACGATTTTGGGGATTTTTCAAGGTCACTGAAGCTTTGCTGAGAGGGAGAAGAGACTTCGGTTTTTGAGGTAGAGGGAGTGGCCGTATTAACTAAACATTAAGCTCACTTAATGTCGATGTTTATTAGGTAGCCGTTTTTTAACTTAAATTTACTAAAATGCCCCCTCATTAATTGGTTTCCGGTTGACATTAGCCGGAATTGAGCCCGGAAGGACGACGGGTGGTTATGGAGATAAGGTCAAGGACTACATTTGGTTAAATTGAAAGTCAGGGGATTAATGTGGAAGTGGCATAATAGTCATGGGACCAAAAGTGGAATTTTTTCATTCATCGACGCTTGGTTTAGGTTGAGTAAGAAAGTCTCGATCTACTTCAAGTTCACCTTCTTCCCTCACTCTATCAAGTGTTTCTATGTTCCTATTCCTAATTTCACTATTCCGTGTGAGAAGGAAAGAATGAAATTGGAAGCAAATCTAGGTATTTACTCCTTTCTCAAGTTTCTTTTTCTCATTTGTTGCGAAGCGATTGAAGCTTAAGCTTCCCCCAGAGCTAGGGGTTCTATCCATTAATTTCTCTTTTAATCTTATACGACAACTACTTTATTCAATTTGTTTATCACCTTGTTTGTAGAAAGGAACAAGTATGGCAAACATTAATCCCATATAAGCAAATTGTGATCTCCGCATAATCTATTTTATTAAATTAACATCCACTCCATAATTAATTTATTTGATTTGGATTTTTTAGTGTTTGCTTTTAAAAATATCATTTATTGGATTTTGATTTTAAGATTCAATATTTCTCCCCCTGCTTTTCTTATCTCGCATGTGATTACTTAACATTTTCTATTTGAATTGTTAGTATGTCAGATTTTGATTTTTTCATGAAATGTTTTTAGGAACTTTTCATGTGACAGTACCGGACTGATTTTTAGTTTACACATTATTTGGAATTTTTCATTCTCTGAATTGTAGTTCACTATACCTTTATTCTTCCCCATTTTGAAATTCACCCTTATACGAAGTACAATTTTTGCGACAATTACTTTTGTTGTTCTGTTCATGATTAAACAAAATAATAATTTCTTTTGCAAAATACAAGGCCAAGTACTGGACCAAGGTTCATATTTCTTTGTTCTCTTCCGGGTTCGTATTTCTTGATTCTCTCCAGTTTTGTTGATTTTGTTCATGATTAAACTAGAAGATTGTTTGTGACGCATAATGCATACACAGAGTATTAGAGCCATATTGTTGCTTTGAAATGTCTGGTTTTCAGAATGGGTTTGCTTAAAGAATATCCATTATACGCAGCCTGCTAGTCTGGCCGACCTGCTAGTCAGGAAAAGTAACAGTCAAGTAATTAATGCACTGTTTAATTATGTATTTAATTTCGTATTAATGTTGTAATTAATTACGCCTATAAAAGGCACGTTGTAATTCAAACTAAGGAGGCGAATTCCAGATGCTATTTCTGGCTCTCAAACTCTCTGGCTACTTTCCATTTTCGTATTACTTTCTATTTTCCTGCTTGGTCGTTCTTCCCTTCCATCTCCGCCACAACACCGTCTCTCGCATCTCCTCCAAGACTGTCGCGCTGCTGTCAGGCCCTCCAATCTCCGGTCTCAATTCCCCAGACCGACCCCCTCTCACGGTCGTTCTAGCAAGCCGGCTGGTGAGAGCTCTTCTACTCTCTCGGTCTGTCTTCTGTTAGCAAGAGAATTGAAGTAGCAAGCGGGAAGTTCGACTTCTCACAGTGAGTCGCCATCCTCAATTGCCTCTAGCATGGCCCTTCAATGGTGTAGGTTGTTACGTTACTCTTCCGCCAACAGTAGCAGGACAAGGGTTGGGATGTATTGAAGATTCAAAATCATGGAATGGAACGGCCTGGCACGCGTAAACCATGATCTGGGCCGGCCAGCACAATCCACTTCTAAAAGTCCCACAAAGCTAAGTATACTCCTCAATTTTACATCATCTTTGATCAAAAAATTATAAAACGATTCAATGAAAAAATCACAAATTGAATCATTCGAAAATTACTCTAAGTGATATGATTGCTTTTAATCTTGTTTAAGTGTGTGTAATTTGAACATTGAACACGGCTTAAGAAATCTAATCACTCAAGTACGCCGGACAAGCACACACACTCGTACATTGGCCGAGCACACACACTCGCGCCACCGGGTCACGTCATATGGGTGTGACGATTAATAAGCTCCAATGTAAATGCTAATACCTCACACCCTTGACTTCATACGAGTTCTTGCGTGCTCTTACCTCTTCCTAGTGCATCACACTCCGACCTCGGGGGACGAGTCACCCGTTCAAAAGTTTTTACTTGCGGGTTCGAACTACTAACCTCGGGCGGTGAGTTAAACTCTTGTTAGGGGCCTAGAGCCACGCTCTTCCGAGCAATTTTTTCACTTAATTGACATTCACATTTCCCGAAAAGGTTGATATACTTTAGTTCTGTGGGGTTGGATTATCCGTTCGAGTGGTGACTCCGAGTCACTTACTCACGGATTCAATCTTCCTTTCGGAGACTGGGTTGAGGCCTAACTTGGGAACTTGATGTCACTCTTTTCGAGTAGTGAGTCTGACTCACTTACTCACTAAGCCATGGTTCAACACCGGGTCAGATGCTCTATTCTACACTTGTTGCTTTTATGTGTAGGTACGACTGAACGAAGACGAACCTGATGAGTCTGAGCCCGATGAGAAGAACGGTTCTAGCCATCCTTTTCGCTGATGGTGACCATTACAATAAAGGCCGAAGATTTCACTCTTTGCTTCATCTTGGGGGCATCAGGTGTACTCTTTTTCCCTTCATTAGGATTTTTTCCCATTGGGTTTTTTCCTAATGAAGGTTTTTAATGAGGCATCTCCCCAACATGGACAAGGGCAGAGATCTTCCGGTCTCGGAGAAGGGTAGCTGACTTGGACTACTCCCTCTTAGCCGAGTCTACTACTCGACTAAGGGAGTGGGGGACTCGTGATGCAGTTATGGGACTAGGCCCAGAGCCTAATCGGCCCAAGACCCGAACTTGGACCGGTGGATCCAGGTCCATAACCTGGAGCCTGCCTATCACCCCAACGGGGAGCCTGCCAGTCCGGCCGACCTGCCAGTCAGGAAAAGTAACAGTCAAGCAATTAATGCACCGTTTAATTATGTATTTAATTTCATATTAATGTTGTAATTAATTAGTCATTATTATCGGTAGCGGTTACGAATTGTATAAGCCTATAAAAGGCACGTTGTAATTCAAACTAAGGAGGCGAATTCCAGATGCTATTTCTGGCTCTCAAACTCTCTGGCTACTTTCCATTTTATATTACATATGCATGGACTGTTGCTTGATTATGAAAATAAATCGCTTTCCTTCATGCACGATGGTATCTAGTCTTGCGCGATTATCTTTGATTAATTTATGCAAGAGTTTGTTGGTCTTAAAAGAAGGATCAATATCAAAGGAAGGGTTTTCAAATTATAACAAGGCAAGTCCCACGTTTGGAAACTCAATAATTCAAGGAAGGAAGCCACAACAGACTGTCTCCAAACAGTTTATATATGCCGAGAATCAAGAATAAGAAGCGTGTGCTTGACCGAGATAGACATTGAGAGAGATATTCATAAGAGAAATACTGAAATTCAAGACACCTGAAACTGCTCACCCGGAGTTCTAGATATAGTTTCTACTCTCCCTTCTTCATATTGTAATGGGGTTTTGAGGATTGGTTAAGAGTAGCCTCCTCGGGTTGGTTTTTTTGAGTGAGAGCTTTGTTGTAAAGCTGATGAGAGGCTCTTTACCCGCAAGGTAGAAAAGTGTAACTCTTTCTAGAGAGAATGTAGTTGGGGTGGTTTAAGGGTAGACTAGGAGAGTTTCCCTTGTAATCATTCAAAGGCTTTTTAGTGAAGTTGTTAAAATTCCTCCGAGGGAGGTCAAGGTTTTTCAAATCTCTTGAGCCAAGGGATTTTTCCTCGTTAAATCCTTGCGTAATTTACTATTTCGCAATTCCCTTTACCCCACACTAGAACTTGGCGAAAAACTGTCACGGTTTCACACACACAATTCACCCCCCTTTTGTGTTGCTAACCGTTTCATCAGCCGGGATAGTGATGGATGTTTTGTTACATGAGGGGCTTCTAAATGGCCTGAGGTTTGCTCTCCATAGGAAGCGAAGGCTTTGCCAATGAGAGAAGCGTTTAGTCGGCTGAAGGAAGCGAGTTGAGGGTTTATTGATATCGAGTCGGATGCCTTACAGATCATTCAGGGTATTATTTCCGGTGTGGATGATTCTTAGTTCGGCTAATCATTGATGATATTAGGGATATTTCCTTTAGTTTTGCTAGTATTTCTTTCTCTTAAGAGAAGCGATCTGCAAACGAGTGGCACATGATTTAGCGAGTCGTCGTTTCTACGATTGATCGCTATGTTTGGCAGGGTTGTTTTCCTTCTTGTATTGATTGAGCTTTCCTCGAACTATGAATCTATGATATGATTAATAACTATTGATGTTCTCTAAAAAAAGACTTGTACTAGTACGAAATTTAAATAATGTGTTAATACTGATTTTATTTTGACCCCGAATTGTAATTGTATTTTTAATGTGTGGGTTGTCATGTATTTGAATTAGTAAATAATTATTGTTATATAAAAGAGCACTTCCAATGGTATTCAAGTGTTGGTATAACATTAAAATTACGTAAACATGACCCCAGTCTATACTAATAGTAAATGTTATTACTAACAATCAGTATTTTGTTGGTATAAGTTAATGAACTATTTCTGACGGGCAAGATATATGTTGGTATTGGTCTATACCGACGGAACGTATACTAACACTCTAATTTCTGTCGGAATTGCATATGTTTCCGCTAGTATAGCCAAATGAGGTCTATTCCAACGGTTTATTCATTTATACCAACAATTTTGTTACTATTGATATATGGCATTTTGTTTGTAGTGGCTGAGGTGCGAAGGTATGTCCGTATGTAGTGGGTTAAGGAGACCGCCCCCCTTGGACTTTCAAATTTTTCTACTATATACTCGTATGTAGTATTTTCATAAAATTTTCATACTTTAATTAGGTATATATGTTTTCGCCCCCCTTAACTTTTAGTTTTCAAAGTTAATATATAGCCTTACATAGTGTAATACTTAATTGGAAATTTAAAAGAAGTAAAATCTAAAACAATTTAGATAGATTAAGACTTAGGATACCTATTATATAAAAATTCATAGCTTTGTAATATTAAAATATCATTATGAGATAATTAGTACTAAATTTTGTAAAATATCAAATGATATTAAATATCAATCACACTAGTTAAACAGTTTTAGATCATGCGAAATGAATCTAAAATATAAATGTTTTTTGACATTAAATTACACAATTCATTTATTTCTTACCTTCTAAAAGCAATTTATTGCATAAATAATAAACTTTAACGTATTTTAGCATTAATACAAGTATAATGTGCACCATATATATGAATTAAAATACTACGTATAATATTTTTTTTAAATAATAATTTCATATATACTATTGTAATATTGAGAAAACTTCTCGTGACCTATGAACACCCCCCTTGATGGACAAAAACTACAATTCAAAAATAAATTCTTTATTCTGATAAGATTCATGTGGTTAAACAAGACATAAGTTATTTAAAATGCATTGTTTGATGTATACCCTTTAAATTTTTTACCTTGAAATAATTCGAAAAAATGTTACATATCCTTTTTTATTTTCAAATAAATTTCCTTCGATTTGGAATTTCTTATGCTTTAATGTATTAATACTTTTTTCTATAGCATTTACGGTTACAAAATTAAAGTTATTTGTTGATTATCTAAACTTAGAATGTACTATCGTTAAAAAAACTTACAATGTACTATGTAATAGATTTAAATGTTATCGTGTATGTACTAGAAATTTGTTACACAGAGACCAGACATTACCAAACCAGTTCAGATCAAACTAGATCAGATCAGATTAGATCAGACCAGCAAATTACAGTCCAAATAAAATATCTTTAATCGACAAATCAATTTCAATTTGAAGGTACTATTATACTTTATTACATACGGGAAAAGAAAATGAAAATATTCTTCGTGTATTCCATTCAATCCACTTGTATTGCCTTTATAGTGTTTTTGGCTCCACCAGTGATTACCACGCCATATTATTTTTATCCTAAATTAGAATGAACTATTACTATCATATCAGTGGCGGAGCCAAAATTTATTTTCAGCGGGGCCAAAACTGAACAAAAATAATAATGAGATTTTTTTCTAAATAAAACTATAACAATGATAAAATTCATAAACATGATTATTATCTCTTTATTCCCAAAATAAACCTCATTCACTCCTATTTCGGCAATTTTAATCAACTTACTCTTTTAATATGATCGTTCTATGTGACTGACAAAATATATTTAGTCGGACAATAATGCAAATCGACATATAGGACTAATTTTGTCCTGGTAATAATTAGCGAAAAGTAATTAATTCAAACTATTTTCGGAGTATAATTTAACACATAATCAATTATTCATTACAATCATCTTAATATAATACGGACAACATATTTTTCAAGTGAAAAATCAATGAATCGCCCATCGCAAATTATACTGTGAGATCGGTGCATCCTGCTCAAGGTGTACTAATCTCAAACCTGTACTGTTTTTGTCTAAAATACTATTAAACCTTCCTTACTCGCATCTCGATCCACATATTTTCTACTCCTCTAATTTCTTTTACCCTGCATCTAAGCATCTCTGTATCTATAGCTCTACAAGCCATCAGTTCGCAGATGGTCGTCAAAGGGGATAAGGGTCAAATTGGACATTGGCTATGTTTGGCAGGCCACTTCAACCCAAAAAGGGCTGAAATATTTAAAATTCAGTCAATAATTTTGAAAATATTCTTGTGGGTAATTCTATTCACACTTACAAAATTGCTAATTACAGTCCCTAACCATTTGCTAATCCTATATACCTAAAAGCAAAATCCTTCCCCCAAGCATTTTCCCGCTTCTCTCTCCCATTTAATCGTTTTTCTCACCATTTACTGCCCGGCGGTTACCCACAAAGCCCCTCCCTTTTCAATCGTACGTTTCCTTCTCAATCAACTCATCAAGAGTCTCTCTTCCTAAGTCGTATGTTTCCTTCTCCAAAGCAATCAACACTTCCTCAACTCTTCCTCATCAGTCATATGTTTCCTTCTCCATCTCCAATTTTCCTCTGCAATCAGAATCCTTCGATTTTTAATGTACAACCAGCGCAGTTAACTGAATCGTGTCACCGCAAATCGGTCCCCCAAAGGTATGAATGTAACATAGTTCGATTTATCTTCTCCATATTTTCAAATCGGGTTCCCACTGGCACAGGTAGGAGATGCTTACGAATTAAAGATTGCAATTTCTGGTGGATTTAATCCCGGGTCATTCATAAATTCCCAAGGTAAAGACTTTTCATGTTCCATGTTCTGCTCTTTGTATTTCCAATTATTTTAAGATGAGAATGGAGCAATTTTATAGGGATTAATTAGGATTTTTTGTTTCAGATTCACCTAGAAACTATATTAGTTTTTAAAATTTCTACATATGGCCGGATGGGTGAATGAAGTCCACCCAGCATCCATACCTTTCATGCTAATGAGAATATTAGCTTCTTTGTTATAAAGGGATGTCCATTATTAACTTGTGCTCTGTAACTTGAGCTTTGTTATGTATAAAATTTCACTTTGAAACGTTACATATACTTGACAAGGCAGTCGTTATGTTATGAATTGGTTTTCAACCGGTCAACCTTTAAATTCCACCTTTGTTTTAACCTCTTTTACAAATATGTATAAGAAAAATAACTTTTCACCGACTAAAAGCTTAAATCATTCTGAAATCATTTTTATTGTTTTACTTTTAGTACAATAGTAAGTTTTTTTTTAAAAGATTTCTCTTTTAACATCAATTTCATTGGTTAGTTTTGAGATATATAGTTGAATGCCTGAAATGTCTTTCTCACACAAATGTAACTTATTTCAATCACACTGATATAGTTCTTTTCTTTAGCATCTTGGAACATTTTTTTTGAGTTTGTGTTTGAATTTACAGTTTAATAATTTTACATGGTCGCTTCATAGTATATCAAACTTCATGTTAATTTTAATCTTTTTAGCAATATTTTAAAAGAAAATCCTTACTAAACAATTACTAATCATTTTAGCTTCTTAATGCAAAATTGGATTCAGTCCGCGAATCACTCTCATGTCTTGTGGTATTTTTGTAGGGGTAAAATGAAAACCACCCTGTACCAAAGTCTGTTCCTAAACAAGTTGATCCTATTGAACTGAACTTATCAAACTAGCTATTACCGGAAAGGTATGGTCGTATGGTTATGCTACTTAAATGCAAAACAAAATCTTTACAAGTTATAAACATTTCTATTTATTTAGTTGTTTTTTCTAGATCAGATTCTAGGTTCTAATGTGCCAGACAATCATTTTGTAATAAATAATTTGTTGATGGGGTTGTTCCTTCAAATGGCTTGCGATTTTAGCTTCAGCATGTTACCAAAGATGATAACTGTTTTGCTTTAAAAACTTTAGTCTTATGTTAGCCTTTTTATTACTTTTTACTTAGTTCTGTACTGTTTGTTTTAGCAGTGTGTAAAACCATACATTTAATTATTTCAGATTGCATTTGTTTTCCATTTTCTTCTCTGTAATCTAATCATCATCATCATCATCATCATCTATAAGTTCAATTGTTTGGCCCCAATCAAGAGTGATTTATAACATATTGAACTTAGCAAAATGGCCCCGATCAACAATTCTTTGTCTGTTGTCAATATAATTATGAATATGAATAAAACATTTCCTACCGTGGTTTTTGTTAATTCTCTCTCCTCTGCACAAATCTCAACCACACAGTTTTTACTTTATTAATCCCCGTGCCGGTCAAACTTGGCAAAGTTTTAAGGGACGGAGGTAGTATATAATACTACGCAATATGATTTGTAAATGCTTTATAATTAATACAGAGTATTTATAATAGGCGTATATTACATCCTGTGCAACGCACGGGTGGAATACTAGTTACCCTTAAATCCATCTACTCGTCACTCTCCTGTGAAAATCGCCGTTCTCTAATTTTGACCTGCTCACGAAAAGGATTCATCAAGGCACACATGGATAGTCTTGCCAACTTAGCTACACAGAAAGTTCCGATCTAATGAAGATGGATTGTTGTTTCATCCCCTTCGCTTCCTCCAAACAAACCTACTCCTCCGTCCCTGATTGTTGTTCCAAATTAAAGTGACACAGAGATTAAGAAAGTGGGAATTGTGTGGCGGAGAGTTGTGCAAAGGAGAGAGAAATGGTGTGAACCACAAATTCTTTGCCAAAAAGGAAAAGTGAAGTTCTTTTTGGGACGGACGAAAAGGGAAAATTGGAACTAAATTCAGGGACGGAGGGAATATATGTTTTCTCCAAGAAGATTGTTTCACCGTTCTAAGCTTGTCTTCGTCGAAGTTCTCACGGAAGTACTCGTCAGTAGTGTTTCACCGTCGATGTTCATGACCATGTATAATTGAATCATGGTGCGTAGCTGCGGTCATCAATTTTGTTCTTCTACTTCATAAATGTATCGAATAAAGTTCTCGATCGATCTAGATTGTTTCATACAAGAGAGGAATGACCCTAATTTCTAATCTTCGTCATTTATAATTTCTTGCTACTCCCACCCCTTTGTTCTTTCTCCATATTTAATTTTATCTCGGTTTGTATTGTTCAATTGATGTATTCTAGCAATTCAATAAGTTGATATTCAACTTGTGTAATGAAGTTAAAACAAGATACTATTGGGATAAACATGGCGTCATTTCCCACCGGCGCTGTCCGAATTAAATCTGTCGCGATGGGGATGGAGGTGTGCTTAATTTCGGAGCTATTGTTCATCTTGATTGGCAAACATATAAAACTCCAATAGTTTCGACTTGCTGGAAAGACAAACAAATCGGATAGAGAGATCTATGTTCATGTTTTCCTTAGAACTGGAACTTCAAACATCATCAGTTGTACGGCAGCTGTATTCCTGTGGAGCATCTTTCAAAATAGAATAACTTAAATTTTAAAAGGGTAAATTTGGAAACATATTTGATCGGTGGCTGTATTTAGAAAAATGGGGACTACATTTAGAATTTCCCTCCCTATTCTTGTTTGGATGAAGGGCTTAAATGAGCTGAATCTGAAATAAGTGGGCTAAATTGAAACGTTAGCTGATCCAACGTTTCTCTTCAGCCGATGGATATATTTTCCAAATTATCCCTGCCTACTTCAATTTGCCTGTGCTTTGACTTATCGCATCTAATGTCCAGAAGAGATAATCTAGATTATTCATCTTTGTTCGGCCATTGCTTTCAGAGTTTCAGAACTTTCAGGCACTACAAATTTTAAAGATATGTATTTTACTTACCTTAATTCATTCAATGATTCATCATCGTGTTTTTTTTAAATACTGGTTTTATGTTTTGTGTTTCGTCTAAACATATAGCTACAACTATGTGTTTAATTAATCCAATATTTATTTTAAAAAGCACATGTAAAAGAAAGTGATTTTAAGAAATTGTAAAATTTAATTAATGGTAACATCATAAAAATTTTTATTGTTAACTGACATGCCCTTTATACGTGGGAGTAGGATGCTCACCGTGGGATGATCCCACGGTATAACAACTGATCGCCCGCCCATGAGCAATGATGTGATGATGTCGTGCTGGTGATTAACGGGGCTGCTGCGGTCTTCCAGACTTCCTATTTGTCTAGTTTGGGGCTTTTGGGCTGTTGGGGGTTAGCCCAATCAGCCCTGGTCTGTTCTAATTTTTTTTTTAATTTGGACTCGGAACGACGTCGTTCCATTAACAAAAAAAAGAATTAACAAGTCGCCCGCTTCATTCCCTTTCATGTCTTCCTCAGACTTCATTCAGAGCTTTGCTGACTCGTCGAAAAAAATGGCAACGGCCGTCCTGACGGCCCTCCTACACCCTCCTATACCTATCTCGCATAGCTGAAGCAGGGGCACCGACCTCCCTTGCAGATTCGCCCCTGTATCATATTGAAATTGTACTAATATATTTTGACATTAATAAGTATTAGAGCCCGTTTGACAACACTGTTTTTCGGCTTATCAGGCTTATCAGCCAACTTTTTCACTAAACACGTAACTTTTGCTTTCGCACGCTGAATTGTGTAATAACCAGAAAAAGTAAGGTTGAAGTTACTTTTCTGGCTGTATTGGCTGAAATTACTGTAGAAGACCATATTAACTATTTTTACATATATTTTTTTCTTTATTTTATTAATAAAATATATTTTAAAAATAAATTTTTCTTAAATCAGCATAATAAACCGATGCAGCCACTTCAACCTGAACTTCATAAATTCCAGCAGAATCAGTCCAAACAGTCGATTATGATACTACCAAACGGGCTCTTAGTATGACAACATTAACACATTTTGTAATATACTCCGTACCACGTATTTTCTAAAGGGTGATTCTATTCAAAGTCACTAAATTGCTAATCACAGCCACAAAGATAATGTAAACATCTAAAATACCCTCCAACCATATAGCCGCTCATCAAACAGCCCTGTTGGAGCTCAACGTCACATAGCCGGCCACAAACTCAATATCGATAAAATAATGAACTGTTTGTATGAGTGTTTTGTGCAAACTAAGGTCAATGAGATTCTACGATTGATTCTGCACTGTTGGAGCTCTTAGCCGACATGGGGTTTCTGTTGGTGTGATTTGTGGCAGAGGAAAGAAATTAACAAGCTGGAAGTGGCGATGAAGAAGGAGACGTGAAACTGTGGACAAAGAAATCTCCGATTAATCATCCCTGTATGAATTGGGGTAATTTTTTCCGCAGAATATAGCATTCAATCTGAATGAGATTCACAACCTCCTTCGATCGCCGCTCGCTCGTCTCTCCTTCTCCGCCATACCGCCACAGGCCCACATCGCCACCAACTCTCATTCTTTCTGACCTTCAGCGGTTTCTAATGCAGGCCTGATGATGATATTCATGTCTGAAGGTTAGCATAAATTAAATCATGAGTGTGTATTCTTTTTCAACTCCAAACAAATAAGAAATCGATTAAATCTCCAAATGGAAGATGGTCAGAATCATGCTAAACGGCAAAGATTCTGACTTGGACAAATTTTATACAGATAGATTGCTCTTCATATATGTAAAGTTGGTGCGGCAAGTCGATAACTCACTCCCCCACACCATTCGGATCTATACAGTATGCACACACAGTCACATACGGTGGGTTTGCTTAAGGAAATTATAAAACAAGGTTATAATAGGAATTTTAAAATTATAGGGCTGTATCTAGTAATTAGCGGGCTGTAAATAGAATTTCCCTTTTCTAAATAGTGTGTCAAAATACGATTAAAAAAACACTGTGTCAAAATAGATTAGTTTGTTTTACCGGCAACTTCCAAAAACAGAATCAACTATGATGGCCGAACAATGTTTCAATGCACAAAAGTCGTTGACTATATGGCACCCATAATCTACAATTATATACCGTGTAATTTCTACTCTGTCACGGCTCCACTGGTTATCATCAGCATCTTCATTTTCTCTACGATCTGATTTTCGCAGTCTTTCCAGCTCTCTTCTGCTCATATCCATGGCCGATACCGTCACAGATGTCAACATGGACGCTGTCCAGCGCCGCCTCATGTTCGAAGACGAGTACGTATTCACTACCCCATTCTCATCTCCTTCTCTGTAGCAATTTCAATGCGGTATTTTGATTTCACTGGATCATTCTGCGATTTTCATCTCAACACCCGTGTTTATTATGGAGATCTGTAAGGCTTTAAAGTTGAATGAATATTGGAGTAAGTGTTGGTGCAATTTTCATTATGATAAGTTTGCTGCAAGAGAGTAAAACATACACATAGCTTACAAATACGGAGTAGGATTAATTGTGTTTTACTCTTGAAATAAGACTTATTTAGTCCTCATAAAAGAATAAAAAATTATCTCTTTCTTTTGTATCCTCTTAACGTATTCTGTGTGCGTCTGCTTTGGCCCTTGGTACTTACGCATGATCTTTATTTTTGTGTATTTTTTCGTCAGTAATTGTTTCCAGTGAAGCAATACAGTAATGGCAATCTATTTGATGTTAAGCTCAGTTCAACTTTTCAATTGGATCTATGGATTTTCATTTTCTTTCATAAGAACTATTTTGAAATAGTTACTGGAAAATGGAATTTCCTCAGAGAATGAATGTTCTAGTGAGTTCTTTTGGACCCAAACAGCATTCTGTATTACAATGGTGTATTACTTTCGGTCATTTTGATTGGTTAGATACTTAGATAAGCAGTTTTGGGCATTCTTGAGAAAGAAAATATTTTCCCCAGTGATTCAACTTAAATCTAAACATTTCAAAGCTAAAAGATGTAAGCAGAGGGTGCTTAAAAACTGCTATTAAATCTGAACATTTCAGTGTATTTTTAAGTTTTTTTTTTTTTGTATTTTACACAAAAAATACCTTTACACCAAACAGTCTAACTTTTAGTCTTTTAAAATCACTTTTCTTTTCAAACATTAGACACTTTTAATATTAATCATTTTTCATACTATCTCTAAAATAAATCACGTCTCAAAAGTAGAAGCTAACACAAACACTCCAACTTTGTATTTTTAATTGATGGCTCTCACCCTGTTTCATAGTAAAGTTAACATTAGTTACTCATTGCTGCAGATGTATATTGGTCGATGAGAACGATAACGTTGTAGGTCATGATACCAAATACAATTGTAAGACCGCTTTTCAGCCCCAATTCTATAGTTGTATAGCTTTGAGCATGTGAGTGTATCCTGGTGTTCTTGAATACGAGTATATAGTAGTAACAATATGAATTCAACAGTCTAATCGATTTCATTGCTAACATTATTGAGTATTTAGTTTTTAAAGGTAATCTATTTTCTTTTAATGTATAGATGGTTTATAATTGGTTCTGTTTGACAAGTTGGAACTTGCCTTTAATATACAAATTTTATGCAGTACTATTAAAGTTCAGCACTACAACAGCCTGCATTGAATTCTGGTTTCTTTTTCACTCAATCATCTCAGCCACAAATTTATAACCAACATCCAAGCATTAGTCTCAAATGATATTTGGGGATGGCTAACATGAATCGGCATATGAAATCGGAGTTAAAAAGGATAAAAGAGATGAATCCTCCACAATCCACATGCATATTCTCCCTCCATTTTGCTTTCTTCAAAGTCATACGCTCATCCAACCTAATAGTTGGGCTTGGCACAATTTTCTAAACATTAAAGTCGATAATTGTTATTTTACAATTGTAAAATTTAAAACAAAGAAAAAGTAGTATGAGTCCCGCAAAAGGTAAAGTAGTATGGTTGACTGGATGTGGGGTGGGCATCTGGTACTAATTAGTGGTGGTTTTTCATATCTAGCAATGACCGTTACCAGTAATTGTCAATGGCGCAATATGGAGATACAAAGCCTCCTCGCCACAAAAACCCTCTTGGCGATGACTCTACACGTGGTGAAGCCATATTTGCGCCACGCCACCCACATGCGCCAAATTTTTAAACTGATTTTAACAGGTTTACTTGGTTGATTTTTGGCTTTGGCCCTTGTAATAGGTGACTGTATTCAACTAGGGGTGACTTCAAATTTTCATTTCTGTTGTGATTGTCTCTATTGTGTGCGCCTATGTGACTTAACATCCTTTTGATGTAGTTAATAAATCAATAATGTACATGCTTTCACCAATTCATGTTTTTCTAAAGCTGTATTTGATTATGGATTTAGTCATGATGTCAATTTGTCTTTTTGTGCGACTATTCCAATCATCTCAAATAATAAATTTAGAATAACAAAGGCACTGTTTTTGTTTAGAAAAGGACACTCTTTTTCTTCTCTTCTGATATACTCTGTACTTATTAAATCTTATCGATCATAAATCATTGATTAAGAAATAATGTCTTCATCACATGAACGGCAAGGTATTTACTTTGGTTTACAATATAGTCAACTTTACATAAGTTGCAGACATGTCTGACATCCGTACAAGGTATTTGCATTTAGTTACTAAATCTGCGTGTTGGTCAACAGGGACTTGCATGTGGATAGTTCGACATGCTCCTCTTTTTCTAGGGTCACCCTACCAGACACAATAGTCATTCTCTCTAATTTATAGTCCATTACACCCCTGATTGTGTAAATATAGCAATCACAGTTTGTGATTTATTAGCAAACCAATTAACCATTGTTGTTAACTTGCAGGCCATCTTATGGAGAAGATTGAATCTGAAAATTTGCTACATAGAGCCTTCAGTGTTTTCTTGTTTAATTCAAAATATGAATTGCTTCTTCAGGTAAGGATACTTAATATTTTATATCAATGGTTTCATTTATTATGGATTCCGTGATACTAGTCAAACATACCTGCAATCTAAGTTAAGATCTTAATTTGCATTATCATTGTCAGCAATATATGCCTCAGGCTCTCCATGTAAATACAACCTGGGTGTATTGAGGAGAGAAAAGAAAAAGGTTTTAAATTAAGGGGAGATGTAGTTTCATCTAGGCTTGTTCGGTTGGGGGATTTTGGAGGGAAGGGTGGAAGTTGTATTGATTTTGTTTTCAACTAATTTATCTCTATTTGTTAGCCTTGGACTGAAAAATAACTGCAATATATGCGTAGTTAAAAAGTACATTTGTATATTAATTTCTCATCTTCACTTTGTTTCCAACCACCATCTAAATGCAAGAATAAACTAATAAAATGAGGGTCCTGCTACCACAACTTGTTGAGGTTTGGTAAGGCATTAATGATAAAAGAACAGTTTCAGGGTTTACATAAATAAACTAAATAATTTAATAAGAATCTTCATGGTTAGCACTCCAAAACAAATAATTCATCATTGTATTCCATTAAGCACTAACGTATTGAGTGTTTCTTGAAAATGAAATAGAATATTCTATAGTCATTAGTGGTTTCCTTAAGAGCTATGAATAACGTTTTCCATAAAACAAAGCCCCCCCTCCTTACTTCCCCTTTGAAATCCTGCAGCTAAACTACTTAGACTATTACTCGAGGCAAATGATGTCATTTCTGTCTAGTAGTTCACTGGACCAACATGTAGTAATCCTGATTTTTTGTCTGTTGTATAGCAACACCACAAGCTTTATCTACATGTTGAAACTCAATCTTCACTTTTTTCAGGCAACTATACAGTGACTGAATCACCTTGTCTATTCAACTCCAAAAAAGTATTTTGAAATTAATACATTTCCCTGTTGGAAATAAAGATTTAGCAGTGGGTTTTCCCTTCAAATAAGCAACAGTATAAGTGACTGAAAGCCTACTTTAGTGCTTTGACTGCTTTCACTTCATACGTGCATTCTGCAATCATATTTTCTGTTGGTTTCAATAATATGATTTGTTTTCTAGAATTAATGTTCAGTAATTAATATGTTGCCTCACTGGTTTGGTTGGTACTTGGCAAGAGTATATAACTTCTGTCATTCCTATAGAATTTGATGAATTTTCTGATATGTGTTATGTTTGCAGCAAAGATCTGCAACAAAAGTTACCTTTCCTTTGGTGTGGACAAACACTTGCTGTAGCCATCCTCTTCACCGAGAGTCAGAGCTTATTGCCGAGAATGCTCTTGGTATGTGTATGCCTTTCAGTTATTTGCCGTAATTGTGATTTTTTTACTCAACTACCAACAAGTACTATGTTAGATTGAACTATTACTTTCTTTTTTAGGCGTGAGGAATGCTGCCCAAAGGAAGCTTTTAGATGAGTTGGGCGTTCCTGCTGAAGAGGTCCCAGTTGACCAGTTCACACCATTGGGTCGTATGCTTTATAAAGCACCTTCAGATGGGAAATGGGGAGAACATGAACGTAAATGCTTTTTACACTACCTATATGAATCCTATCAATGTTTTATTTGCCTTCCTTTTGCTTCAAACCAGTCTCAGCATACGTTTGGTGGAAACTTAAACCGACTGATAACCATTGTCAGCCTCTTTGTTAACCTAATATTCACTTTTTTGTTGATTGGGATGAATATACTAATAATTTTAAAAATATGATTTCATTCAGTTCATGAATATGTTTCATCCTCTAAACATGATATATTTAGCTAATAATCACTTGGCTAAAGCTACAATGTTAGCTTTCATCCTCTAAACAGGTTTCATTCAGTTCATAATATGCCCTTCTTACAACTATAAGGACAAAAGCTGGGCAGCAGCCCCCTCCCTTCCCACTGAAATGAAACTCCCTTTTTAGCTTTAGTGGTATGCAGGAGGCAATTTGTCTCGTTTTTGAGAAGCTACCATTTGAGGCTTCTTTCAAAATCTAGTTTTTTAAAAGAATCCTTAAAATGTTTTTTAAAAGATAATTTTGCCTATTATGTAGTGGGGCGACTTTATTCGACCTCTATATTTTTTTACCATATGCACTTTAGTACCCATTTGACGAGATAAAATTCAGTTGATGAATTTAGTCTACCAAAATCTCACTAAACACCCCCCCCCTTTCACACTCCTCTTATTTAGCTATTTTTACTTCATTTATTCATATTAAACGTATAGTTTATGAGCTGTTTTCTTAGTTGAAATGGTTGAATCAATGCATTGAAGAGAAAGAGACAATGTACCCCTAATCATATTTATATTCTTCATTTCATAAACATATGCCATATTACCATTACATCTTTGTGTAGGTAATTCATTTATTCAATCAGTGTAGATCTACTCATAGTTTAGCTAATTCGAGTCACTCAGAACTACAGGTCCTTATTTTGGACATCAAGGGTTCTACAAAAGCAAAACTTGCGCAAATGTAAATATGTAAAATGATTGAAGCTCCCAAATTGGAGTACTGAAGATACTTCTATCTATCCTAATGCATTTAATACATAACTTGGTTATACTAATCGGACCTTTGTTGCTGCTCAGTTGACTACCTCCTGTTCATCGTCCGGGATGTCAGTGTGCATCCTAACCCAGATGAGGTCGCTGATGTTAAGTATGTGGACCGAGAGCAGCTGAAAGAGATCATGAAGAAAGCAGATGCAGGGGAGGAGGATATAAAACTCTCCCCTTGGTTCCGACTGGTAGTTGATAATTTCTTATTCAAATGGTGGGATCATGTAGAGAAAGGGACTCTGAATGAAGCTGTGGACATGAAGACCATTCACAAGTTGACCTAAACAGGTGGACTATGAATCTGTTTTGTTTAGCTTTTTTGTTTTTGTTTTTGGTTACTTTTGCGGGTTGGGTATTTGTCTTTGTAGCATCGTGCATGTGCACTTTCATGCATTTCGAGAAATTCCGCTTTGTGTTATATTGGATTTTTTCGTGGAATTGGTGTTCCAACTTCCAATGATCCGTAACAACTTATGCTCTTTACCTAACTACTCGTTTTAACTACTACATATATAATACGCTGCTTCCTTTTTTTCTTCTCGTAATATTTTTGCCAAGTGCCCAAGTCATTTTAATAGTAATAAGAAAAACAGGAGGGCAATTCTAAGCTCATGCACTTCAATTAGGCATAAATGTGTATGGTTGGACCAATCTGACCAGAGCCTCGGTGATCTTAAAGGATATTTTGATGATTTATCTCAATCTCATATTAGGTAAGACTATATTAGACTTCGACAATCATAAAATACACATTGAACAAATATCGGAATAGGTCATATTTAAATAGACGAGGTTTGACTAGATTAGATTATAAAATTTCAATTCGATTAAAACATCCTAAGTTGGATGTGAAGTGACCACGAGCTCACAATTACATAAAACCAATTGCTTCCTCTCTCGGGCTCCCCTAGTATGACGCGGTCTCCTCTCAAATTGATACTCAATTGGCTTTTATCAATCTATGAGCTTCTCGGCTCCTGATATCACGAACATTGTTACCACTAAAATACATGTTTTGAAGATTATTTGTGATGGAGAATACGGTTTGAATCTTTTTTTTTGTATCTCATGGTCTGCTTGGGTTTGCTGATGGTTCCATTCTGATTTCAAGTCCTTACGTGTGTGACTTACATCACAAAGATGCTCTCAATTCTGAATACTATCATGTATCATGGGTACAAACTTGATCAAATAGTGCCCTCTTAGTTGTTCGCTACTCCGCCCTATAATGTTTTAGTGGAAATGCATGAGTTAAAAAATCCAAGGCTATACAGGACGTCTTCTATCCCGGTTCATGTAGACTAGCATTTCGCGCTCTATAGAATTCGAACTTCTCAGTCATATGAAGAAACATGTCAATCAAACCATGGGTCATTATTTACGAGACATCAAAGTCATTGTTGATTCTTTAGCATCAACTAGTTCTTGATTTATGGTACCTGGTGGTTTTTAGTTTTTACCCAGGAACAATGTCACTCATATCTCTATGTATAACACAGGTGGCCAAATTATTGTTCCCTATCATGGACATGGCCGCGACCAGGGGCGGAACCGGGGGGGGGGGGGGGGGGGGGGGGGGGGGGCAAGCCGGTGCCGACGCCACCCTTCGCCGGAGTTTTTGTATTAGTAGTATTAGGTATTCCGGCCGGCGCCCCTTCACCTTCGCCCATGCTATTTGTACGGGTGGGAACCGTACATCCGGGTCTATTTGTAATTTAATTGAAGCTCCAGCCCAATTTTAATAAAGTTTAATGAATCTGATGAAGGCCCACAAAAAAGGCCCAATCAATTAAGAAAGACAACCCATTTAATTGATACAGTCTAATTTTTTTCGATGGCATTTTTGTAATTTAAGGCTTTAAGCGAAAAATCACGGCTATCGCTAAATGAGCAATATTGTACTTTTAGTGAGCATCTGACCTATTAGGAGGCTAATAATGAGTATCACGATCTCTACTTCATATCTTCTAATTGTATTTCCTTTTCTTATTTTTTCTTTTATAAAAACTTATTAAATTATATTTACAATCCACTCTTATTAATTTCAATATGCGAGTCTAATGTAATATGATACTTTTGAAATATACACTGATATGACATTGTAAAAATGAGCATAACATCAGTACCAAATTATGAGCATACATAACTTACAAAGTGCATATTGATATGAAAATCGTAAGGTTTGTTAGTTGAACATCATGACATTTTAATTGAGCATCAAACCTCCACTATTGAGATGAAAATCACGACTTCTGAAGAATGAGTAATAATAAAGTTTTAATGAGCACCGGACCTATTCTGTTGAGTATTAGGAGTCTAATATTCAGAATCATGATATCTGCTTCATAACTTCTAATTCACTTTCTTTTTGTTATTTTTTATCGTAAGGTTTGTTAGTTGAACATCACGACATTTTAATTGAGCATCAAACATCTGCTATTGAGATGAAAATCATAGTTTCTTGTGAATGAGCATTAATGAACTTTTAATGAGCATCAAACCTATTATGTTGAGTATTAAGAGTCTATCATAAAATAATACTCTTAAAAAATGCATTGATATGACATTTAGAAAATGAACATAAGATCAGTATCAAATGAGCATATGTAACTTATAACATGAGTTTTAATGAATTTGTTAGTTGCTTTTGTTAGTTGAACATCACGACATTTTCATTCAGCATCAAAACTCCTCTATTGAGATTGATGAAAATCATGATTTCTATTAAATGAGCATTAATGAATTATTAATGAGCATCAGACCTATACAAATGAGCATGTGTAACTTACACTATGAGCATTGATATGAAAATTAAAAGTTTTATTCGTTGAGCATCAAGACATTTTCAGCGAGCATCAAGACATTTTCAGCGAGCATCAAATCCCCGTTATTGAGTATTAGAATCTACGATTGAGTATCATGATTTGTGGTCTCGTGTCTATAATCAACTCTTATATAAATGTAATGTAATATGATACTTTTGAAATGTGCATTGCTAAAACATTTTAAAAGTGAGCATATCAGAGATACTAAATGAGCATACATAATTTACAAAATGAGTATTCAAAAATTCAAAAGCTCATTTGTGAATGTTTATTTTTTTAGGCGTTTTTTACTCATTTGAGTTTAAGGTAAAACTCATTTTTAATGTGCTCAGTATAATATAAAAAAAAAAGTAACCAACAAATAAACAAACGAAAAGAAGTAAAAAAAAGAGTTTTTACAAGAATATTACTAAAATAAAACTTATTTACATATATATGACTATTCATTACTACAACGTAGTATTGTGGTAATTTAAGTTCAAAACTTGAACATGAATTACTATGATTTTATTACTACTCTAGTAACTAATCATATTTCTGTAAACCATCTCTATTTCAATCATATTTATGTAATTATTTTTTTTAAAAAAAAAGACTAAACAAAAGAAAGTAAAATCAACTAGCTAGGTAAAAGTAAAGAAAAAGTCAAAGCAAAAAGACAAAACTAGAACGTTGTTATGATGATGATCAAGGGGTTACTTTCATTCACATATAGGGATCTATATATACTGGAGGGGAGCTAGGGTTACGTCAATGAGATGGGCCAGTACATATGGGTCAGATGGTTAATGGACATTCATAATTACATAACACTCCCCCTTGAATGTACATTACTAAAAAAACATTACACAGAAAAATATATTACTTTCTCTATACACTTACGTAATGCTGCCTCGTTAAAAACCTTGCCAAGGAAAATCCAGTGGGAAAAACCTTTGGTCAAGGGAAAAAGAGTGCAACACGTTTTTTTTTTGTTTTTTAAGACCCGGCAGGCAAACCACCAAAATCGGTGGGGCAAACGTCGGGAAACATTTGCCGGGATTTTATTAATGAAGAAATAAAAATACAGAAGAAGAGGGGACTAGGCCAAAACCTCTTCAGCGAAGGCATACCTCGCAAAAATACATCAAATTCCAGAAAAACATAAACAAAAGTAAATCGAAACATCTTGGGGGGGGGGGGGCTAGACCTGACCCAAAGATAAAATACAACATGACATAAAAGGAAAAAGAGTGCAACGTGTATATACTCCCCCTGTTGATTGCATCACTTCAGGTCTTCTTGTTGAATCCAATTCAATCCAATCTGGTTGCTAACTCCTCGAATGAATTATCGTATTATGTATATGCTCGTTAAAAACCTTGTTGGAAAAATCATTTGGGAAAAAACCAAACAAGGAAAAAAGTACATAATATATGTAAAACAATGTGTTGTATTGTCTGCCTCGTTAAAACCTTTAACTAAGAAAACCATGCAGGAAAAACTTAGTAAAGGAAAAGAGTACAGTCATTGGCCTTCTTTTACCTAGTCATTGGCCATCTCATTGCCTGCTTGTTAAAACCTTTGACCAAGAAAACCCTATGGGACAAAACTTGGTTACGGAAAAAGAGTACAGTTGCATATGGTCTTCCGAACCAATAAATTGTTCGATCTCACAAAGACCAATTAAGACCTTCAGGGTACTATCTTTCGAACTAATATTAGAATCACTCTTCTAGAGGATAATAGTTTTCCGGATGTTATGAATCTTTCTCATTCTTTAAAAATCACAAAATAACTTAAAACCTTTGGCCAAGAAAAACCCTTTGGGAAAAAACTTGGCTAGGAAAAAAGAATAGCACTTGGTCTTCTAGATTAATTGTTTCACCTCAATCAACTCCATATAATTTGATCTGATGAAAATCTTTATTATACAAAACCTCCATCATTATTTATACAAATTTGATGGACATTAGTAACCAAATGTTCAAGAGTTTCTGAGAAGAAGCAATTGTCTAAACTCATGATTTCTCAATGTGTATTTCAAGACCATCAAATTTCGTGTTAATGCTCATATGCACATCAAAAATTTAATAATTGAGTATTCTCAAATATTTGTCCATAAAACTTAAATGAGACAAGTTTGATCCTCCTAGGATCTCAAATTAATATACAAACACTTCAGGTGTTCACAATATAATGACTAGATATTTTATTTATTATATAATCAAACACCATTCAAATCAAAAGATTCTCATATGTTGTTTCTAGGTTTGGATAGATGCTTAATTAAAAGCCTCCAACACCTTTATTTATACAATTTGGTTCATAAAATAATATACGTTTACTTCAGGTAAACAAATAGAAGGTTTATGAGTAATTGCAAATTCATTGCATAATGTTTTCCTCATTCAACTCTTTCTACAGTAAAGGTTGAGAAGTAGTACGAATATAGCTAACTTTTATAGTTAAAATTCTAGTCAATAAATCATGTGAAAACACATAAGAAAAATTGTTCACATTATATCCTCTACATGAGGTACTCACTACAAGTGGTACTTTGACATGGTGCAAAGACCTTGTTCAATCATGATATTAAATAAAATAATTTGCACCATGATAATCAAGCATAGTTCTTCTACAAAATAAATCATGTCATCAAGGCTTATTGTAGTCCCCTAGGTTGTAGTTAGACACAAGCATCCGT